AAACAATTTTATTTTTTTTACTTCTATACTAATATAATATATTTTATAAAAAGATTATTTTGCATAAATACTTTCAAAAATATTTTTTTATTTATGAAGCTATTTAAATACATTTTAAATATTTTCCTCATATTATTTTTAAAGTTGTAAAGATAATAATAATAAATTTATTTGATTTAATTATTAGTACTTAAGGATGACTCCATTATATWTTTTTATTATGAATTCTAATTATGTTGAAATTACCAGAGGTATTGAATTGGCTCCCTAACTCAGGTAATCGTCATTTTTACATATTTAATTGGCTCCCAAGATTTATCCATTGAGTTGGCTCCCTACACATTTATTTTATAAAACAATTGGTTATCAAAATTGTTTGAAAATAAATTCAACTATGGGTACGTCTAATGTCTATACGTTAAAAATATATAAGTTGAAAAAGTACGCGACTGTAATATTTTTAGCGACACAGTGCCGGTTAGTCTTGAAATTATCTATTCGTTAATCCGATAACGTATTTATACAACCTATACAGGTATAGTATAGTATTTCACTGATATTATGAAACGCAGTAATCGCAATACTCGCAGTTCGTATCCGCCGCAGTTCGTTGCAATTTTTCGTAATTCGTACCTATACATAGAATATAAAATGAATTTGGTAGAAAAAGTAACAAATGAAAAGGGAGAATTAATTTTAATAGTTAATAAGTTTAAATTGGGCTACCATAAGTTTCTCCATTCGGCATTTAAACGATTCAAATGTACTWAACGAGGATGCAAAGCTTATTTGAGAATTTGTAACCAAGAAAATGTCATATGGGAATGGTCCAATCTTAACCATAACCACAATCCAGATGAAGAAAACAAACTTGAATGCCAAATTATTAGTAACTGACTGGAAAGAAAAGCTGCTGAAAGTTTATGTGAAYGCCCTTCCAAATTGTTGCATTCATACTTAAGGGAAAATTCAACAAATTCAATAACTACGCAAGATGTTGAAATTCATCAAACACAATATGCTCCAAGCTCGAGCTTCAGTACGTCCAAAGTAACCCAAAAACAGACAAGAAGTGCACGATATTTTACAAACCACGGATGTAAAAACATTTTTGATGGAATATTTGTATTATAAATTATTTTAATGTATAACTGAATTTATTTTAATTAAAKTCACGTACTTTTTGAGAACYACTTGTTGAAAATTATATTGGGAGCCAATTCAATGGTCACCCAACAAAATAATATAAATATTGTATTTATAACAGGGCTGTAATTATATATATATTTATATATTATATATATTTAGGATGTTTATTGCATATTATTATTAGACATAAGTATTATCGGCAATGAAACTTAGTTGATTATCATGATAAAATATTAGAATATTACAGGTAGTTAAAATAAAATATAATAAAAAAAATACAAATAAACAAATTGTATAGTTATAAATTTATAAATAATATTGTCGTTCATCCTACTATATACCAATTTAGTAATTCATATTTGTGTACAGATGAGCATGTTGGAAATCCGAAATAGGCATTTAAGTCATTAAAATTAATGTAACTCATATATGATTATCCTACTATACTATAATAGCTAATAGCATATAATATAGAAGATGTTTTTTTTCATGAGTTACTTTAATTATTAGGTATAATACCAACTATTAATTAATAACTATTATTATTTATTAGGTATTAAATAATAAATATTAATTATTGTAAATATTTAATTTGTAAAAATGATATCTAGATTTGTATGCATTGAGTCATTGAGTGAGTCATTTAGATGGGATAAAAAATTAGGCACGATACTCCTATTCAAGTAATCTTTTATTATTTATTTATAATATACAAACCTTAATTTTAGCAGGACCTATACAGCATATTTTATGATAATTTTAATATTTTATCTAAGGACCTAAGGTTATTGATAAACCAATTCATTAGGTACATATAGGTACTTACGACAGTTACGAGTACATTTCTTAAACTTATATATGGCTACGTCCTAATACTAAACCTTATAGTCGTGTTAGTAAAAAAAATACTTATTGATACCTTATAATATATAAAGTGAAAACTTGATTTTTTTTAAGCTTTCTGTGTTTTGCTATGTTGTAAAATAAGTATAATAATAATTGTGTAAAATTGTGTAAAAACGTTACGAGTTTCTCAATGTTTTCTTACGTAGATAATAAATTGTATTAGGTACAAAAGTTTTTTTATCAAGTTTTTCATTTTCTAAATAAAAATTATATTGTAGGTATATTTTATTTGTATGAAATAAAAATACAAAACTTGTTCTCATGTTTAAATGACATTGGTGAAAAAAATGTTGCTTTTCTTATGAGGAGCATCTATCCAAACTGCCGAAATCATTAAAACTCGTTTTCTCTTCGAGTAATAACAAATCAATTATTATTATTTATTTTAATATAATACTATTTTGTTTTTGAATTATACGTATAATATATTTTAAAATTTTAAATGATTTGTTTAGTAGGTAGGTAATCACGTTAAATTATATATTAAAGTCCATAGGTGCCTATTTTTCTATTTTTAATTCATTAAAATTCGTTTGTTGATGACCGATGAATATTAAATATTTAAATCATACAGCTGCATTTTTAATCTACTAATTTCTATAATACATTATTATTCTTATATCAAATTGTTTCATCGAGTTGAGATTCCTACATCACAATATGTGTGTTCTGATTTGTTATTATTACGGTATGAATTTATGATTAAATGAAATTGATTAACAACATAATACTCGTATCATTCCGATTGCGCTAGGCAATCGGAATTTTCATTAAATGTACACATTTATATCATAATAATTTATACAGGGTGATTACTGATTCTTTAAGCATGGTCACACCCATTTTTCATTCCAACTAGTTGGACAGTAGTTTCTCAGTTATTAAAATGTTTATACCTACTGATAAGGATAATTATTGTACTTAAAATGGTTTTACAAAAATATGAAGTAGATACCTATAATATTAATCATTAGATCTAATATTTAAGATACCTACTTATTGGACTACTTTTATAAATGACGAATGTCGAATGTCGATACTTGATAGATTACCTAGTATAATAATTACTAAAATTTTTAAATCAGCACAGCCTTCATATCTTTTTCAAACCAATTTTCATGGACCTATTATTAGTACAATAGTACCTATACAATGTTATAGGTAAATAACTAAAAAACTAATTATTCGAATTTTTGAAATATAAAAAATCATCAACTAAATAATTCGCAGTAGAAATGGGAGGTTCCCATTTGTGAAATAGAAGTTTGTATCTCTGCAAGACATTTCTTATATAGTTAGTATCAGTATAGTTAGTTAATCTCAAGAATTTGAAAATACTGTCTTTTTTGTAAGTATTCTTAAAAGTTTCAGAAATCAGATTTTGGGAAATTTGATTGTTTAAAAAAAAATGGGATGAGAATAATGCTTAGTAAATCATCCTGTATAAATCATTGTAAAACTATGACTTGTATAGGTATTTGGTAAGCTTCGGTATAAAAGTTCAAACTATGTTATTTATTTTAGCTTAGGTATAGGTAGTGGATGGTAGATCTGACAATGTATTGGTATCATAATATTCAATATTGTGATTTATGAAAACTGTACGAGGTACAGTACAATACCTACGCTGTCTTGGCTGACAAATACGTTTTTGAATTTTAATATTTTATGCTTTATCATAATTATAGGTACCTACTTATAATGTGTATTGTATATAAATATAATCTATATAATTGTATATTGTTGTG